TGCCGTTGCCTTCATGTCAGTCGGCGTCCTTTCCGATTGTTTCCTTTGTATTTTTACCGTGAATTCATAGGTCCGGTTGTAATCTGCTGTAGATCTCCGTGGTCTGTCATTTGCTGCTTTGTTTTGTGGATTAGTTGTTGTTGTTGTTGTTGTTGGATGTGAACCTGGTGTTGATGTTGGATGTGAAGCTGGTGTTGTTGTTGCAGCCATGGTTGTTGGTCTTTCTGTTGAATCCAGCTCTGGTTCCGGTGGGACAAATCGACCGCCGCGGGTGCTCCCCACCAACACAGACCTCGAAGGAGGAGGGTCAGGGAGAGGCAGAGGTGCTGTCACCACTCGAGGCACAGCCCCATGCAAAGCACCCAGAGGCACAGACTTAGGCACACCCAAGGGCTGCACCAATGGCGGTTCCGCACGCACCTCCAAAGAGCTGCCAAGCTCAAGCCCGTGCAACACAGATGTCAGAGGGGGAGCGGCAGACAGCGGCAGGGAACCATCCTGCCGTCTAGGTGATGGGTTTTTCCTAGGCCTCCCGCGTTTGGGCCTCTCAGATTGCGCACTGGGTGGAAGGATGTGAAGTGGAGTGTGTTGTTTGATACGTGCGTTCAGGTGCTGAACAGTCCTACCAACATACCGACTAGCACAATGTCGGCATTCGAAGTTGTAGATAACATGACTAAGGTGGAGGGTTGGTAGGACGTCCTTCCGCACCGTGAACGCACGCATTGTTGTGAAGACTGGCACAAAATGTACTGCATAATAAGTATGACGGACGATAGACTTGACTTCGTGACGCACTTTGATCGATTCCTGCCCCTTCCATGGCAAACATAGATAGACGGGACAGCGAGGTGGACCAATCAGCACCGATTTCGGTTTCTGCTCCATGGACAGAAACTTACGCAACAAGAATAGATGACTTGCACAAAGATTGTCTGGGTTCGAGACGGGGCAAGTGGACCTTCTGGACTGTACTTCTGACTCTGACTTCCCCACCTTTTGAGTTCGTGACTTTCGAAGTTTCGCTTTTTGCCTGACGAACACTGAGCTATTTTTTTTGGCTAGAGAGTAGAGTTGTTTTGATTCGGCTTGTATCGTCATGCCGAAGCGCTGCTACGCTCCTGAATGCACTAGCAGACGAGAGATGGAACTGAGGCTCCCATTCCATACGTTCCTTTCCGAGCCGGCCGGCCGGGAGGCAGAAAAAATGAGGGAATATTATTTTAGTATCATTGGTGTAGGCTGCAACAAGCACGTCGTGGTCCTGAAGTGTGACAACTTTCCCGCAGTGGAAGCGAAGTCAAGCACAACGAAAGTTTGTGGACGTCTGAGAAAGAACTCGATTCCCTTCGATTCGGCTGCACTAGCTCCAGAGCGACCCTCTCCTGAGGACAGACTGCGGAGAGGCCAGGAACCTGCCGAGTCAAGAGTGGAAGCCCGAACCACGAAAATGAGGGGTGGAAGGACTGAGTGTGAGAGCCAGATGGCCTTTAGTAGTACTTCAAGTAGTATCTGACTTGAAGGAGAGAACAAGTGTGCTGGAGAAACGCTGCGAAGTCCTCAGGCCTGATGTGTACTAGCTACTGTTGAAGTCTCACTTGTTCCGATATGAACACTTCATCAGCCCTGACTCTGAGCAGCTGTATCTAGACTTGGACTTAGGCCAGAGACATAGCATTGTTAACCTTACTGAAGCCATATGTATCCAATGCCTGGCTCTAGTGAGAAAGCAGTTTGGCGCAAGCTCGCAAACTATGATTGAATCAGGGAGTGGTGGAAAGTCACATTATACCTTCCCATGATTAGCTGGTAATGACGACGATGCGGCTCCGGCTGGGTCTCAGTCTCAGAAAGGATTTGTTGGAGCATCATCAAACAGTGCATTTGCCTTCATCATACACTGGCTCCGTTGCCTACAGTAATTCACATTTTGACGGGGCGCGCTGGGACGATACGGAAGGAGCGGCGGGAACCATTGGAGTGCTCATGATGCTGGTTAGCGAAGACCGATGTGTCAGGAACGGGAACGCAACCGCACTACTGTACAGATCAGGAAGCGATGGAAGAGTTGAATCTGCTCAGCCTTCCATGCCGTGTACAGGGACACAAACGTAAAAATAGCTACATTTCAAATGTGAACTGGCGATGGCATCATGTGGCGACGAACACAACTGCAACTGTTCAAATTTCAGCATTTCGAACATTATGCTTCCCATGATAACTCACCGAATGGCTCACATGACGGAGTTGGACATTACCAGGCTAGGATAATCATTTGCTGTATTTATGGATAGTCCTTGAGTTTTCAGATGAAGTGTTTTATCTTTTACCTGTCGTTCCTTTAGTATGGCACAATGTCCATGGCTGCTTCCTTGTCTTCATAACAGACTGGTATAATCAGCATGATTCTGCTTTTTTGAGAAGAAATAAAACTTTCCTTTCGGAAAGGAAGCCCAGAAACGTCAACCCCCATGGACTGTGCTTTATGACTCTCGTCCATCGACGTTAACCGTCGCAATAACTGCTGCATGTATGTTGTGCTGTGCGAACCGTACAAGATTTTACAGCTCACCCACGCCTTCCCAACAGGCTCCTATATCCCGTACCGTTAGCGTTACATTGAATATGAACTAGGCTAGCACAGTTATCCTTCGTTCTTTTGATGGCGGCGGGTAGCATGGAACTTGACGTGTTCTTGGGATCCTCGTGCAACACTTGCTGTTCCCGGATGCCATATTATTGGGTGCATCGAGGTTGCTTCTATGCTCACTGTTGTTTAGTAAGACAATTTTTTATAACTATTTCACCAAAGAATAAGGCAAGAGTATTTTGGGTTGGTTTGGACGCCTGGCTTCTCTTCACATAATAATACAGTCATGTACTTCCACTCAGGGAGTAGTACAATACCTACTTCCACTAACCCTACAAGTGCACATGCATGACTCATGAGCTGCTGAAGACAGTGACGGTACTGATCATGTACATGTACATGCCGTGCACCGTTCATTCATGCTGACAAAAAAAGTACACTACACTAGTCTACAGACGGTGTAGCTACGTAGGGTACCCGCAGTGTAGCCTGGGTGCACAGGGTGCACTTGCCCCGTCTCACTCGCGGCTCGGATCTTTGTGCAAGTCATCTATTCCGGATAGCTATTCTTCAAGAAAACAGATCGAAGAAAATCGAGCTCGGCCTGCTGCAGCTTACTGGGCGAACAAATACGTTTCGCACGGTCCACGAGGTTACGAACTAAGTTGACCTTGTATTGAGACGAACAATATGAATCGAAGACAATGTACTGACCGGTGAACGTAGGCTTACGATACACAGAAGTCAACATTTCACAGCCAGTCTTCTCTACAAGCACGTCTAGAAATGACAACTTACTAGACTGCTCGTGCTCACAAGTAAAGCGGAGGGAAGGATGTAGGCTGTTGAGCACATCGAGAAACAATTCACTGCTCTCAACACTGTCAAAATGCGTGAACGAATCGTCAACAAAACGCACGTAGAACGCGGGCCAAAGCGACTCATCAATCTTGCACTCACAATAACCAACGAATATATTGGCGAGGACGGGACCAAGAGGAGATCCCATCGCCACACCATCCACTTGCTTGTACATCACTGAAGAGTGATTCCTGAAGAGTGTTGTACGAAAACTTGTTCGAATCATCTTTTTTTCCATTGCCCTTTTTCTTCTTACATGTACTTTTCCTTACCCTTTAGGTTGTTTCTTGCATCGTCTCCATCGCTTACATTGTTAATAAAGTAGTCCACATGTCGCTTCAGCTCGTGCTACTTATTGCCATATTAAAATTATTGTCTCCTCGTCGAATTTTTAAATAAAATCAATCAATCAATCAGGTTCCTACCTGTGGATGCAGCTGGGAACGCTGGTCCACAGGCCATGGTCGTCGATGAACTCCCATGTTGGATATCCGATGGAAGTAACTATGTGACTAGCAAAGTTACACTGCCACTGATACCATGTACTAGTGATGGTGTTACCCTATGATGTGCTGTGATCCTGTGCCCTCCCGACCTCGTGGTACTGGTGCCTTCCGGTCCCGTCATTCGCAATTTACTGTCCCTCCAGGAAATCGCGATTCCACGGATGCAACAAATTTCGCGATTTTGGCCCAAACCCGCGATTTTCAGCAAAATCCGCGATTTCCCACGTTTTTTGTTGTTTTCTGCACTCTATTTCATGCACTTTTCACACAGTGCTTTCCATGATCCTGTACGTTATTTGCACAGTACGACTAGTACTACTCCGGAGTAGATTATTATACGATGCAACAAATTTCGTGATTTGGCCCAAATCCGCAATTTTCTGCAAATAATTCCGCGAATTCCTGGCAAGTTCTGCATCATTCCGCACTTTTTGTCGCATTTTTTGTTGTTTTCTGCCGCAATTTCTTGCGCAAGTTTTCGAGAGTTTTTTCCGCAAATTCCCGCAGGGACAGAATTAAGGTGGGTCAGTTCACATTTGGGGGGACAATAGAGAGGTTAATTAAGATGCACGTTATTTCTGACGTGACGCGAAAGTTCAGCTCGCGTTATTTGCTCGCACGTCAAAAAATCAATGCGGGTGACCTGCTGCTCACGTCGAAATTTGGAGTTTTACGCCAAATTTGACGTGAAACTCGCGCGTCACGTCGGAAATAACGTGAATCTTAACCTCTCTAATGGGCCAGTTTTAATTTCTCACTTTTACGACGCGGCAGCGCCAGTAAAGGTTTTTCAGAAGCGCTCACAGAGCGATTTTTATATGGATAATGTCAGTTCTTTTTCCGTTCCCTCCCCACCCCAACCCCGAAGGTAAACATGATGAACACGCGCGCGATGTACTGTATGTAGGCATGAGAGTACGATAACACACTGATACATACCAGCCCTCCCCACCTCGCTTACCCCGCACACAGATACACAAACACGCGGATGCACACGGCACACATACGCACATGCACACGACACAAACAGGAAATTCTTCATGTAAAATGCCATGCAAAGCAGTGGCCATCGTACTTCAGGAAGTCAGTTGTGAAACAAAATAATTCAACTACAACGTGTAGACAAGCTGACGGCCAAAGCACAACATAGCAAACATGACATTTGCCCAAGGATTGCCGTTTGCAGACCACGCCATGGAAGCAGCGAATACAGAATGTAAGATCATACAAAGTGACAAGCAAAGAAGTGGCCACCATACACCAGAGACTTGCAGAAAGTCACATATCCAACAGATAGAAAAGTGAACAGCAATCTGGTGCAGCCCACACAAAACAAAGCTGACCTGATACTTTTCCCAGGATCGCAAGTGGCAGATCCTTTTCGATGCATAACATGCAGGTGTACGTTACACGGATGGACAAAATCTGACCGTGTCGCCAGCATACAATGTCATCACATGTATACCCCACAAGTTACACACATGCACAGTAGAAGCACAATGAAAGCAATGGAAAAGTACGATGTGGTTGCTGAAGCATCTTCGCACTTCAAATTCAGACTTCAATGTGGTCGTCACGAGATGATATACCTGCAAGATACAAGTGATGCAGAAAGAAAGCAGAAGGTCGTGAGGTAGGCTATGAGACACCACAAACGGGTCACCTACAGGTATGTTCAGGGCTAGTGCACTCGCACGCAGAATTATCATAATCGAGCATTTCCCAAACTGAGAAGTGCAAGGAAATCCACTTGCATGCACAGGAGCAATTTTGCCGCTGGTGTGATGCGCAATTCGAGACAATCTGCGATGCTGCGTGCTCACCTCTGATGCCGATTACTTCCTTGCTTAGTGATAGCTTGCATAGACCTCGGTCCTACCGGTAGGACCTACCGGTAGGACCATCATACACAGACATGCTGCATGGCCTCTGTTCTAACATTGACCTAAAACTTGACCCTAAACTGTTGCTCAGGGGCTAATGAAGGAGTCCACAAATTTTAGACGTGATCGCACAAAGCATAGTACGAAATTCCATGGTAACAGCAAATGGTAACCATGGAAACAGTGTATGGAATTATGCATTCCACTGCCCTGGCAGACTAATAAAAACATTAGTACCTCACCACGATTGATGTGCCATGGTCAAAATTCACTTTGGACAGAGTTGCTAGCGCTCCGACAGGAGTATGTGCGGCCATTTTGACAATTGATAAAATTGCGCGTATGCAATGCACTGGACATAGTCTTGCATTTTGCGCCATTACTTTGCCTGACAAAGACCTCATCTCAACGATTGTTTCAAGAAATTTCTCAACTAAAAGCACTTTTGCAGCGCGATTTCTTGGGTCCTACCGGTAGGACCCGTGGTCCTACCGGTAGGACGGCATGCAAGCTATCATTAGACCGGCCCGGTCTGCTCTCCCTGCACTCTCTTCTAAATCCTACTTGGAGCAGTAAGGCTGTGTCACTGCTCCTACTGATAACCCAGTTAGGTTGTGGTCATTGTTGTGAAAGCAATATCATCGTCATTGTGGTAATAACATACGTTTTTGCACAGCGGCTGGCGCTAGAACGTGCAGCAAGCAGCACGCTTGTACTTCGGATTTTTCGATTTTTCGAGGGCAATGGCTTCCTTTTTGCTTTGGCTACCTACGAAGTACAACCAACAAATCTATGAGAAGTATTTTTGGAGCTGGAGTACGAGTGGGGTTGTCTGATAAGTGCTAGGAGAACCCTCCTTTGTGGCTGTAGAGCGCTAAAACGTGCCCTGTTGGCCGAAAAATCCGAATTTTTTTCTCCCGGGGGACACCCCCGTTGTGCCACTCCCAACCGCCCTGTGACGCCCCTGTCATTGTAGCTTACCAGCTGTCTTTTTTGGAGATGCGGTAGCAGCTGAGGACTTGCATACAATCTCTGTTTCAACTGCAACTATTTCCACAATGTTGTCAGGTATTGGTGCGGGCGACACACGCAGATTCTACACAAGCAGAAGGAAAGAAACACCATGAACATATACCTGTTACTACATGTACATGTACATGTTGCCACTGTCAAATATTCCACAGGCAGATGGTGGGGATGGAGAGGAGAGCAACATCAGCAACAGCAGAAGCAGCAGCAGCAATAGCTGCACTATTAGCAGCAATAGCAGCAGCAGCAGCAGTACCACACAGCAATTCACCACCATACCTCAGATTTTATACCCGGTATGAGCATAAAATGTCCAGTGGCCTTGTCCTCGCGAAACCGGCTTTCATACTCGTTCAACAGAATCTACAGCGCACGTTGCACAGGAGAATTCATACTCATTCAACAGAATATACAGCATACATTGCACAGGAAAATGCTTGTACATTGCAGAGGAGAATACTGGCTTTCATACTCGTTCAACAGAATCTACGGTGTACATTTGACAAGAGAATACAAGGCATAACGATTAAGCAAATCTACGCCAATAGTTATGTATGTCCCATATGTATGTCCCTGAAGATAGGCTACTGTAAAACCGGAAAATTTGGGTGGAGATCTATTTTCGGTAATTTCGGTTTTACCCACACATCACACACGACAACTTACCTCCACGGTCGACATGAGCTCCCCAGGATCCCCCAGCTCCTCGGGACACGCCCTCACCATCGTCGTGGAAACGTTCAGCTCGGCCAGCAGCCGTCGCAAGCCATCAATCTCATACGAGCTGAGACAGGCCATGTCCGAGAGCAGGCAGGATGGCGGTGATGGAGGTGGCTTGCCGCCTTGTGAGCTGTTCCCATCTCCTGACGAAGCAGCAGCAGCAGCAGCAGCTGCCGCCGTCGCTGGCGACTGGGCTGCAGTGTCATCCGTTGACAGCAGTGGGATCTCGGCGCATGCGGACGCAGGAGAGAGCTTCGCTGCGTCCGTATCTGTCAGCGATCAGACAATCAGAATATACAAGCCCATATTTAGGCATAGGATAGCTGTCGTGAACAGCATTCAACCGGCAACACCCAACAACAAGAGTACTGTAATATCACAAATTGTTGGTGTACTTTTTTTTCGGTACGTTTGGTGCGTCTGTTTCATACCTAAAGTTTCAATACACCGAACAAACACTAACACACATAATCCAATAGGGAACTGCTTCTCTGCACCTAAAAGTTCTGTTCGCCTAACCTGGCCTTTTGCCCTCATACTGAAAAATAGTGAGCACCTAAAATTTCTGAAATTAGAGTATATAACCCCCGAAGAGTGTGAAACTCCCGCACACCCTGCTGTCACCACAGAATTTCAAGTTGACGTCATTTTTATGATGCAATGTTCCACGCACCAGTGATTATTACGACATGTGTACGGCGAATCAACGCATCACACGTTTTTCTTTGCACTAGTCTATACAAGGTCTAATGGGGCTTTGTCCACCACAGATTCCCAAAACGTCTGATAAATTGTGATAATACGTGTACTGTGCAGCCTCTTCCCTTGTAAGAATAAGATCATGTGCTTTGACATAAGAGTACATGGGGTTATGTAATCTTGCTTGACAGGATAACTACATATTTATGTTTGGATACTCCGAAGTGCAGTGATCCTGTTTTCTATTATTGTTGATGATGGTACAAACATAAATATTGCATACAGTCAACTTCGCTAATAACGACTGCGGATATAACGACAATTCGCGAATAACGACCGAATTTCCATGCCCAGAGCAAAGTCCCATCTAACTGTATACATTTAACTTCGGATATAACGACTATCTGAATAACGATAATTCGCGTATAGCGACATGCTTTTAGTGCCCCAAGGTCATATTCACTGCTTGAATAACGACTTTCTGGGCTTTTGACAGCTATTTCAAGTACCTGTCAGTCAAGTACATGCACCTGTCATGCAGAAGTACCAGAACCTATGGTGATGGATATTATTATTATAAAGGCACACATGCAATAAAATGCAGCCAAGGGGGGGGGGCTTTTTCTTCCTTTTTTATGTTGGCTTCAAAATTGTTGGATTTACCAGCACACCTATATGTATACAATGTACAGAGCTCACTGACTTGTCAGTTTGAGCACTCTGGCAAGGTACGTTCGGGCCTGATTGGAAATTTTTATTTCCATTGCTATCCGGTTCGGCCTCATTTCCTCTGTGCTGCGCTGACGAGTCCACAAAGGACGAAACTATTCTGTCCGCAGATTGAGTATTTCGCTCCTGCTCTTGTAGCAGTTGAGCACTCTTGCGTGGGGTAGTGCCTTTGCTGTTTGCTTTATGCACTGACTTGTCAGTTTGTGCACTCTGGCAAGGTACGTTCGGGCCTGATTGGAAATTTTTATTTCCATTGCTATCAGGTTCGGCCTCATTTCCTCTGTGCTGCGCTGACGAGTCCACAAAGGACGAAACAGTTCTGTCCGCAGATTGTGTATACAATGTACACGTAGTTCTACATGATTGTACAGTAATCATCATACATGTACATGTCTCTGGCCCTGTAGATGGCTCAAAAAGGCATATTTTTCAATTGATTTCCCTTGCATATTGAATTTTTAGTTCCTTTCAACTGCAATATGAAAATAAAGTACACATTGACATAGAGCAAGAAAAGAGCTTGATTTTGATATGCATGTCATACCATACAAAATATGGGTTCACATACATTCAAATGGGACTTCGGTTATAAGGACACTTCGCGAATAAGGACACTTTTCTGATGCCCCGCCGAATGTCGTTATTGGCGAAGTTGACTGTATACACATCTTTGATATTGAGCTTTTATTAGAGAGGTTAAGATTCACGTTATTTCTGACGTGACGCGAAAGTTCAGCTCGCGTTATTTGGCTCGCGCGTCTAAAAACAACGCGAATGACCCGCAGCTCACGTCGAAATCACATCGACAAAGGACATAGGAGCAGAGCCAGAATACTTTCTCGTTCTCAGGAAAATAAATTCAACAGCCACGGCCACATGGAGATCGTTTCCCCACATTTTGTATTTTTAAGACACAGAGGGAGTCATAGTGGTACAAAGTGAAGTGTACGGAGATGGAGAGAGAGAGATGGAGAGAGAGAGAG